GGGTTTGGAGGCTGAAGGAACAGCAGCAGTGCAGCCGTGGGAGCATGTGTGGCCAGGCCCAAGGCCGTGGTGTGCCCTGGGGAGGGAAGAGCCTGGCAGGTCGGGCCCAGCGTGCAGTGGAAATGTGCACGGCCGGGGTGGGGGGACACGGCTGGGGTGGGAAGAACTTGTTGTTTTGCGTGTGTATTCTTTTTAGTAATACATGACGGCAGAGTGTATTTTGACATATACACACACAGAGTGTGATTCTTGGGCTCAAACAGGATGTGGAGTTTCACTGGTCGTGTATTCATTCATATATGAACATAGGAAAGTTCTGTCCAGTTCATTCCACTGTCTTTCCTATTCCCAACACTCTCCCCTCAGTCCCCTTTGTCTAATCCAGTGAACTTCTGCCCCCTCTTATTGTGAGTCAGCATCTGCATATCAGAGAGAACATTTGGCCTTTGGTTTGGGGGGGATTGGCTTATTTTGCTTAGCATGATAGTCTCCTGTTCCATCCATTTACCAGCACATGCCATAACTTCATTCATCTTTATGGCTCAGTAATATTCCATTGTGTCTATACAGCACATTTTCTTTATCCATTCATCTGCTGAAAGGCACCTAGGTTGGTTCCACGGCTTAGCTATTGTGAATTGAGCTGTTATGAACTTGGATGTGGCTGCGTCACTGCAGTATGCTGATTTTAATGCTGCAGAAACTACGGAAGGAGTTGGGTCAGGGTGTGGCACAAAGGTGTTCTTTTAAACACTGCTGCCACCCAGCGCCACCACCTGCCATCTTAATTTCTGAGGCAGGAGAATCTCAAGTTCGAGGCGGCCTCGGCAACTTGGCCAGGCCCTAAGCAATTTAGCAAGACTCTGCTCAAAATTAAAAAATAAAAAGGGCTGGGGGTGTGGCTCAGTGGTGAAGTCTCTGGGTTCAATCTACAGTAAAAAAAAATAAAAGCGACAGTGCTGCAGGCCAGAGGAGCGCACCATCGCACCCCTCCTGGGCTTTGGAAAACACGGATTGCATTCTGATCCACTTTAGAAAAAACAAAAAAAGCCTGCATCTGCCTCGGCCCAGCCGGGTTTCCAGCAGGCGGAGGTGGGCAATTCTCCGGGAACAGCATGACATGCCATCCCAGCCTCGCCCCTCGGTGCAAATAACAACAATAACAGTAATGACAGTCATCTCAGCCAGCAGCATGGGCCCAGTGGCTCCCGGGAAGCCGTGATTGTCCGCCCCTTGACTGGACGACGGATGTGGCTCGCTGGTGAAGGACACGTCCCCAGCCCTCCGCCTCCCAGGGAGCCCTGCGTTCTGCTGAGCAGATCCCCTCCTCCACTGAGGCCCTGCCCTCCGAGCAGGCAGCCCATCCCAGGGTGGGGTTCTCAGCCCCAGGAGGGAACACGCGGTCCTCTGAGAGCGGTCAGTGCCAATTCCCGAGAGACAGGCCCCTCGGCCAGTGCCCCTCTGAGTGCACCTGTGTCCAAAGCCAAGTGCTACTGGCTTGAGGATCACTGGGTTTGATTGGCTGGGCCTTGAGTCCATCAGTGTCCGCAATTAAGAGTCCACTTGCAGAGCGGGAGGTGGCTGTGTGGACAGTCTGGCCCAGCAGGGACAAGACCCTGGGTTCAGTCCCGACACTGAGAAACAACAGCAAAAAATGACCTCAGTTGCTCTCCTCGCTCCTCCTGCCATGGCTCTGAGATCTGCGTGGCTTTGGGGGACCCTCCTCCTCCTGATCCTCTGGGCAGTTGGCGAGGTTCATTCATTTATTTCTTGAGTGCCTCTGGGACGCCAGGTGGTGTTAGGCTTAGGGACATGACAGGGAATGTGACAGGCCAGGCTGTGGCTCCCAGGGGCTTATGCAAATGTGCTTGTAACAGTGGGCGGAGGCTGGGGGAGGAGGCTGGCAAGTCAAGTAAGAAACAGGTGCCTCTGAAAACTGTGAAGACTGGGGCATGGGGCCGTTTTGCTTGGTGTTCCTTTTGGTTGTTTGTCCCGGGTGTTTGAGGAAGGCCTCTAGAGATGGTGACTGTCATCCTGCGAGGGGCACAGTGAGAACGCTGGCACATGTAGACCTAGGGCAGGAACCTCCCAGCAGAAGCATGACCAGGGCAAAGGCCCTGGGGCAGCCACAGTTTGGCGTGTTCAGGAATAGTAAGCATGTGCATGGGCCCAGAGGCATGTGTGGCCCGGGAGCCTGCGAGATGTGGCAGGATGTGTGAGCCTAGGTCATTAGGGCCTTGGATATGATCTGATTTCTTTTATTAAAAAATATTTTAATTATGGTAAAATACACGAAACATGAATTTCTCGTCTTAGTCAGTTTCACGTGCACAGTATTAAGTACAGTCCCGCCGTTACGCGACCAGTCCCCAGCACTCGTTATCTTGAAAGCTGAAACTCTGTACCCATTAAACAATAATACTCTCCCCAGCCCTGTCCCTGAGCCCTGGCCACCACAGTCCCCCTGTCTATGAATCGGGCTACTCCAGGTGACTGCGTGACAGTGGGTCGTGCGTGCTGGGGTATGGGCCAAAATGGCCTGTGTTTTAGAACTAAAAAGTTTTCCCGTGGATGCTTGTGCTGCATATCCGCCCCCTGTGGATGGACACCTGGCTGGCCCCTCCTGCGTGTCTGTTGTGACTCACGCTGCTGTGACCACGGTGTGCGAGGGTTTCACTTCATACATATGCTCCTTCCCACCCAGGAGGCGAGGCCGGGCTCCTGCCTGAGTTGTGAACTCAGAGGGGAGGGGGCCGGCCCGGCGTGACCCTTCCCCCCGGGAGACGGGGTGTGAGAGTCCTCGGGCTGCACTGATTGAGCTGGGAGTCCTAAGACCAGGCCCTTAAATCACGCTGGGGCTGGAGGAGCCTTTCTCTGCATGTGGAATGGGAGCCATAAAGCACGCTGACTTACGGGCGGTGCTCACCAGGCTGCTGGTTTATGGCCAGACCCTTCCCGCTCCTGATGCCTTACTGTGCCCACTGGTGAACACTTGTCCAGGACCAGGACTTCAGATCCCATGCAGGAGGGTGGGGGCTGGTGTGTCAGAGTCACGCTCAGTGGCCCACGGCCAGCGGAACCAGCAGGGCCTAGGACTACAGAGTCCCAGCTCCCTGGGGGGCTCGGGTGTACGGTCTTGGGGGGTGTGTCTTCTTTGGGGATCTCCAGGGACTTAAGGACAAGTGGTCTCCTGGGCAGGAGATCCCAGAGACCAGGGAGGGGGGTGAGGAGGTAGGACGGGGAGAGAGCGACGCCCTAAGACCCGTTGCCGACTGTGCCCGTGGGTTCTGTCGCTGTAACAGGACGTCACAGACAGGGTGATCTGTGAACGCCGGATCTTATTTTGCGCCTGGTCCTGGAGGCTGGGAGTCAGGAACATGGCGCCTGCCTCTGGTGAGGCCTCATGCTGCATCACACAGGGTGAGGGTGTCGCAGGGTGAGACGGGACAAGCATGCTCACTCAGCTGTCTTTCTTCTTATGAAGCCATTAATGTCACTGTGGGGTCCCACCCTCATGGCCTCGTCTAACCCTGGTGACCCCCCAGAGGCCCTGCCCCCAAATGCTACCAATAGGCATTTGGAGGTCAAGTTTCCAGCAGAAGTTTGGGGGGTTACACTCACACCCGAGCGCCAACCAGGTCACCATGGCGGGCAGCTGGAGACGAGTCCCAAGGGGACACCAGGATCCTGGGTAGAGCATTGCTTCTGGGTCATCCTCCTGAGAGAGAGGGGCAGGGGTGGCCCTGCTGGCTTCATGGTTTATCCATCATCTTCCAAGAGCCACGCACCCCATTCTGCCACCAGGACATTGTCCTTGGCCCCACTGCCCTGACCCAGGAACAGGAGGAGCAGCCTCTGATGGGCACACCCCAGGCAAAGAACCACGGGGCGGGAGCTGGTCGGGCTGGTGTGTGTGACAGTGCAGGGGGGGTTGGCAGGGGGCTGAGGGCATCTGCTGGGGGTGCCTGGCCAGCTCCATCTCACCATCATCAGGGGCTTGGGCCCTTGAGAGTCGCTGGGTCTTCTTACCACCAAATAGCACTCCAGACCTCGGTGGAAACCCATTTGGCTATTCCTCAATAAGTAAAGGTAGAGTTACTATGTGACCCAGAAATTCCACTCCTGCATATACACTCCCCAAAGAATTGATAATAGCTGTTTATGCAAAAACGTGTACACAGATGTTCGTAGGAGCATTGTTCACACTAGCTAAAAGATAGAGATGACCCAATGTCCATCTGTGTGTGAATGGAGAGACAAATGTCTCAGAGCCACACAACAGAATATTACTGGGCCATAAAAAGGAACGAAGTACTGATACACGTCACAGCATGGATGGACCCAGAAAATGTGAGGCTAAAGTAAAAGAAGCCAGACGCAAAAGGCCATGTATCTTACGATTCCATTTATATGAAATGTCCTGAACAGGCAAATCCACAGAGACAGAAAGGGGATTTGTGATGATCAGGGGCTGGGGACAGAAGGACAAAGTGATTGCTTATTGGGGGTGGGGTTTCCTTTAGGGGTGATTAAAAAAAACACTGTGGAACTAGACAGTGGTAAAGGTGGCACAAGATTGTAGATTGTGCTACAAGCAACTGAATTGTACACTTCCCTCTAAGTGGTAAATTCCGTGAGATGTGTATCTTGCCAGGTTTTTTTTTTTTTTCCCCCAAAGCACTCCAGGTGTTTTGCAGCCCTGAGATGCAAGGCACACTGTTTCTCAGGTGAGAAACAAACCTGCACGTGGCACACACACCCAGGTGTCATGCAGCCCGGGACGCTCCTCCTGAGCCGAAATCAGGGGCGGGGCGCCGGGCGGAGGAGAGCCCCCCACACACACACACTGGCCACGTGCCCGCAGGAGTGGCGGGCCCGGGTTGCTGGAGAAGCCGGCCCTGCTTCGCCGATTTGCAGATCAGCTCTGGGCGGGGGTGTGCACGCAGCTGGAAGATTGTGGGGGGCGTCTTGTCTTAAATATAATATTAAATCTGCACCTTTAATTAGTGCACTTAGAAAAGGTCACTAGCAATTACCTGGGACACAAAGAAGGCGTGAGGGGCAGGCGCCCGTGAGGAAGCAGAGAAAGACCATTTCGAGCAGCACATAATTGAGGGGAAAATGGATAAAAGTCCTTGAAATTACAGGGTGGGTGACAGCAGCTGATGGCCCTGTCCCCATCCTGCCCGGGCCCCGCCCTCCCGAGTGTCGGACTCGAGCCATTTGGGATAGCAGGCCGAGTCATGAGACCTTGGCTGCAGGTCAGCGTGGCCTTCCCAGAATCCCCTGGGCCAGTGGGCAGCGAGGCCCTGTGTCCCACCTGGCCTGGCCCTGATGGGGTTTCTGGGGGAGCTGCAGGTGGCCCTAGGCCTGCTGTACTGTGGACAACAGGGAGCGTCTGGGCCTAGCTCCTGGGAGGGATCTGCCAGGGCGCTGGGCAGCAGCTGAGCGTTTCTTAAACGTTGGCCATAGAAAAGAAATGCGTGTCCTGGAAGCCAGGGGACAGCTGGAAGTTCTATCGTAGCTCTGGGTTACATAAAAATAAATTCTTAAATTTATAAAAGTGAACGGTGCACTCTGCCGCCAATATATTCCTTGTCGAGGGGCAATGCAGACACTTTGGGAAGTCAGGCTCGGTGGACCTGCGACTTTGACGTATCCCCTCCTTCCCACCTAGAAAGAGAAGAGCCTCGAACTAGGAGTCTGGTTCAGGTTCAAGGGCTGACGTGGGCTCCCATGGAACTTTGGGCAACTTGGTAAACGCCTTCCCCTTTTCCTCTCTAGACGGGGAGGTGGGGCCTGAGGCTGTTCCATATTCCCTCCAGGATTTCTTGTTCTGACCCCTCCCCCACTCCTCACCTCCTCCCATCACCTCGAAAGCGGCCATGTCTCCCTCTGCTGCTCTGCTGCTTGACTTTGGAGAGGTTTCTTTGTCTCCTGGAGCCTCAACTTCCTCATCCGTAAAACGGGCAGGATAACGGCCGCCGAAGGGTTGCTGGGAAGGTTTAATGAGCAAACCCAGGTGTGTAGACCAAGGGTCTGTCCCAGCACAACAGCCTGATGGATGCCCAGGACCCTTCTTTTCCAAGTGTTGGGCTTCCAGCTGGACGGGGCCTGCTAGGCTTGTGTCCATGAAGCCCTGATTCTGAGATGGGCGAGGTGTGGAGACAGATGGGGGCTCTGGGCCCTGCACGCCTGGGCCGTGGCCTCCACCTCCGCCGTTTGCCCTCTGAGCGGCTCTGGGAAATGACATCGTCCCTCTCGGATGCCTTGCCTGTAAGTGGCAGCGCCAGAGAGGACTGAATCCGATAGAACCGTCATGGAAACGGCTTAGCTGGGCACTGGACTCCGGCGAGGCTCAAAGCCATCCACCATCACTGTCACGCCGACCCGCCGTCCTGTTGGAGTTCACTTAGGAAAGCCCCTTAGCTTCTTTTCTAGATAAAATGCCTGAAATTGAGACTCCGTCCTCCCTCCTTCCTAGCTTGATCTTCAGAGCTAGTTGGTAAATATGAGAGGCAGGCTCTGGGGAGGAGGGGGGCCCGCCCCACGTGTCGGGGTGAGCTGACGCGCTGCGGGAAGGGCACGCGGCACCTTGTTCTGACCTCGCTGTCCCTGTGAGAACCAGGCGGAGACTGCCCCTCCTCTTTATAAACCGACTCACTGTCCACTCATGCCATTTTGAGCACAGTTTTGGGGACCTGAGGACCTCCTGAAGCCAAGGCGCCCAGCTGTCCCAGTTACCCTGAGCTTCCTGGTTTTGAAACACGTGCAGGCAAATGCCTCTGTCCTGGGAAAGGGCGCAGTGGGCCACCCCGTGTGAAAGTCACTGGGGAACCCGTGAGCCCAGGAGATGTCCTCTGCTAGGGCCTCTTAGGTGAGGTACGGACAGTTGTCCTGATGCCTGGGCTGGCCAGGGCTTTGCTTCCTGGTGAGAGGCGACACCTACCTTTTAATCCCCTTCTTGAAGACAGGAACCAGACCCTGCCACCCAGTTCTGGACTGGAGTGACGGTCTGGAGGCAGAGCCGAATCTTCCTAATTTCTGTGTATAGCAGTGCACACCCCAAAGCCAGCGCCTCGTCACTCTTGAATGAAGCCCAGAAGATTTTGCAAAGTATTCTGCATTAGAAAGTGGGTGCTTCCATCTGCAAAAGACAGAACTCCAACTCAACTGGCATGGGCCAAAAAAACCAGGGGGAGAGAGGCTGTGGCTATCCTTCTCACAGCCGAGAAGTCCAAGGACGGAGGCGCTCTCAGGCACACCTGCCTGCACACCCCCAGCTCTCAGGAGCCCGTCCCTGGGGCACAGTGGCTCTGCGCTCGGCCTCACTGACCTACTCTCCGGCAGGCTCGGTGTGGTGCCAGAGATGGCTGCCGACAAGACCCGCCCAGCAGCCCCAGTGGAAAGAGAGCGCCTCTTTTCCACAGTAGCGGCAAAAGTCCCAGGGTTGGATTTGATTGGCAAGATTGGGTCACATGCTCCTTTTGAAACCAATCATAGTGACCAGGGAGATGGGATGCTCTGGGCAGAATTCTGTGCCCATCTTGGGCCACAGGAGGTGTTGGGAGCCCTGTCCTTACTCATCCCAGCCACGTCAGGAGGGAGGCTCCAAACCAACATTAGGACAAGGGGCAGGCAGAAGCCACAGTGGTCCATTGCACACCCAGAACACGGTGATGACACGTGAGAGCTCTGAGTGACGAGTGGGCCAGGGTGGACATGGGGAGCCTGGTCAGAGCCCAGGGGTGCACGGGGTCTCCTGATAATCATGGTTTGCTGGAGGTTTGTGGGGTGGCTGGTCCCTGCTGGGAGCCGTGCCACTGAGCAGTTGTAAGGAAGGACCCTGACCTCCTCTAGTGACCCTGACCTCCTCTAGTGACCCTGACCTCCTCTATGACCCTGACCTCCTCTATGACCCTGACCTCCGCTATGACCCTGACCTCCTCTATGACCCTGACCTCCTCTATGACCCTGACTCCTCTATGACCCTGACTCCTCTATGACCTTGACCTCCTCTAGTGACCCTGACCTCCGCTATGACCCTGACCTCCTCTATGACCCTGACCTCCTCTATGACCCTGACCTCCTCTATGACCCTGACCTCCTCTATGACCCTGACTCCTCTATGACCCTGAC